AATTTAACCTACTTCTAATTGTCATATTTACTTGAAACTTTGCAAGTATTTCTATTTCCGTTGATAGTACAGTGGTTTGGTGTTATTGACCTGATCAGATGGCAAGGCCAGAAGGTGGGTACTGAGTATAGGTGGAACTCTTCAACGGCTAATAGTAGATACTTTGAGTTTGGGCTTATTTTGTTTGATTTGACAAGCCTAACACGTTAGAATCCTTACCATGCTACTACTGTCTACACTAAAAAGGGAAAAATAAAAACTTTTTAACAAAAAAATAAAAACCGACTTCAAACAAAAGCACTAAAAAGTAAAAAATAACTGATTGGTAGTTTTCATTTACTATACATACCTAATCAAATATTTTCGAAGTCGGTGTGCTTTGGCTAAGTAATTAAAGCCTACCTATTAAATACATACCTAATGAAATATTTTCGAAATCGGTGCCAACCGATATAAAGCAAAGCACACCGACTTCGAAAATATTTGATTAGGTAGTAAATGAAAACTTCCAATCAGTTATTTTTTACTTTTTAGTGCTTTTATTTGAAGTCCGTTTTTATTTTTTTGTTAAAAAGTTTTTATTTTATAGGTAACTAGAAAAACAGAAACAAATATATCCCACGGGAACCGTATATTTTTCCGGGATAAAAAGTAGCCTTGTGTTATTTTAATGTATGATTTATATTATTGTAGTGTTTCATTAAAATATATTTAGTAGTTTTTGCGTGAAAGAGTAACAAATATCCATACATCCTCACAAACATTCGCATTGATAATATTAGTAGGATTCTGTTCATATAAGAATTCCTCAAATTTTCAGTAATGATTTAACCACAATATGCAATATAATCGAATTTCGAACATTATACGACCAAGTAATAATATATGTACAATAGTACACTACAATATTATATTGACTATAAATTTTACTCAAGAGTTATGTGGCTATGTAATTATTGTTTTCCTTATTGACGTTGCAATGTTGAAGATTCTTCACCTTCTATTTACTTACATTTTATTTTTAGAATGATGGTCAAACAGACAGTTATTAAAATTGTGTATACATAGTATAAATAAAAAAAAAGTAAATATTATTTATAGGCATTAAAGTAGGTGTCTAATTCAACTAGTGTTCGACCAATTGTAGAAATTTTACCGTTATAATTTTTTGTTGAAACCTCGTCAAAAGCTACTGAAAAAAAACCTGTGTGTGTACACACGTATGTATGCACGTAAGAAGTTATACTTCTTTGGTGTAACAGAACAAAAATAGCTAAAGATTTCATCTCGTATGTCACAACTCTCTGTTTGTAAAAGGAATGCAGCTAACTTCATCATGTCGATTTTCGACTGTCGGTGTGCCCGGGCAACGTAAAAATTTTTCTCTCATATTTTTCACGTCATCATTCCAAGCGTGCCAAAAGAATAGTAACTTCAAAAAATGATAATCGGTTGACAAACACAGGAGAAAAAGCTACTGGACTTTTTTGTCTGGCCTAATTTATCTATACTAATATTATTAAGAGGTAAAGTTTGTGAGTTTGTGAATTTGTGACATTGTAGGGGGTAATCTCTGGATGTATTGAACCGATTTAGATGAAATTTGGTAAGATAATAGTTTGAGCCCCTGAAAAGGATATAGGATAGTTTTTAGCCCGGAAATCATCCCTTAAGGGGATGAAAATGGGAATGATAGTTCTTATGGGAAACGAGGATGAGTCACTAGTACGTACATATATAGATAACTGAAATAAATATTATAGCGTTTATCGAATCACTTGTTAGGCCTCCACATAAATTCGTCAGTAAGTCATATTAACGAAGAAAATTCCAAGTTTATGAAAAAAGCACCTTACTCAGGCCTACATATAATGTGTTCTTGATCGATTTATGCTACAGTGGTCTCAGTAAGAGCAGCGAACCGCAATAGAAGAAATTATAATTCACAAGTGAATGCACAGATATAAGTGCACTCTCTTTTCCTTTCGCTCTATTCTATTCCTGTGGGACGACAATTTGATCGACTGGTGAGATACTCTGACTCGGCACGGGGATGTAACACCGTCAACTTTCAGACTCCGGGCTGTTACTCTGAATTTCTTGACTAGAAAATCTAATATATATACTTAGCCCAAACAAAGATTCGAATGCAGGACAGGCGTACCGAGACAGTAATACTTTTTTATATTTTTACAAAGCGTTTCATTTTATACTCAAGTGACGCATTTCCTGCATATAATCTTTAAAATTGCACAAACGTGTTCGAATTCCTTTCACTATCAAAATTAAAAAGATACCATATAAGTATCAAGTTTGTTAAGCCGTTGACCTTACGAGTTTGTAATATTCAGTCATCTTCTTATGATTAATTTGACTGTTCAAATATAGCTATTTGCAATATAAAATATTATACCTATTAGACAAGATTTTATCTAGACATTTTTGAAAATTGAAGAACTAACCTTTTTTAAGACTTATTTTGAGTTCTTAAAATACTAGGATGCGCTTGCTTTTAATTGAAGTACTGGAGCTGGCAGACTTTAATTTAAACCAATTTAGATAGGTATTGCAGGGAGGCCCGTGCAGCAGTGGGATGTTGAAAAGGACTGAACAGATAGGTAGATAGATAGAAATAGGTTATAAATTCATGCTAAACCACATATCTTGACAGCGTTTCCATTTGTGTATTCAACCATTTTTAAAGTCCCACTGCTGAGCACAATACGATGAGGATCAGGCCATAGTTCACAACGCAAGTGAGGGTTGACGGACTGCGCATGTCTTTCGAAAACTTGCTAGATTCTCTCAGACATGCAGGTTTCCTCACGATGTTTTCCTTCACCGTAACACAGTGGTAATCATGTTGGAAATGATTCGCACATGAAAATATCAGAGGTGAGAGACCCGGGATTTGAACCCACTTAACTCAGTTTCCCAGGTGAGCGCGTTACCACTGGGCCTTCCCATTCCCGTTCTTAATTGTTTATTTTACAATAATGTCTCTTTTGTGCAGTCTACTTTGGATTTACTAGGCTTTATTTCGCCCTCGTAAATTAGTTGAAAATGACATTTAATGTTCCATGTAAAGGACTTTTAACAATGTAATACCAAGTATCTTATACGAAAACGTGCCTTTGTAAATCAATTCAATATGGATATCAGGAAACTGAATTTTCGCAGTTTCGACACTTTAACAATGGTAGGAAGGAAACGCAATAGGAAATTATACTAATTGACAGTCCGTCGGTATGTCCGTCACAAGGTCGTAGATACAATGACGGATCAGTGGAAGATGGATGTCGTTCATGCGTCAACTAACAAAATTATTGACGAGACGTTTGACTTTATGAATGCTACTTGATTTTATTTTTGACATGAATACATAATATATTATGTTACTTTGACGACATGTTTAGCTCGGTTTGTAGTGACCCTACATACTTGCTGTGCCAGCATTCGCGGGTTCGAGTCCCGCTGAGGGGCTTTCATTTGTGTGATGAGCACGAATGTTTATACTCCAGTCATGGGTGTTTATAATACGTATGTATTGAAAGTTATATATACGTCAACGTAAGATTACTAGTAGGAGGGAGGCACATACCACTACACCTCCCCCATTATTAAAAAAAAAAGTGTTCTCTATTTACGCTTTTTTTAGAATTTATTTTGTTGATACATATAATTGAAACAAAATTGACTTCTGATTACATTTACATTACATTGTACTAAATATTGGTCATCAAATACATTTTATCAAGAATATGGGCATTACAAAATGAAATATTTCAATATAATAATTTTGTTATTATGAATTAAATGAACATTAGGTTTAAGAACACTAAATCTTACAACATAATAATTGATGAAAAATTGAAGATTAAAATACAATACTATGTTACATAGCCATTAATTTTATATTTATAATTTGTAAATTATGTAAAATGAAGTAGTCAAACAACATAAAATTAATTTTACAAAAATAAAGATTATAATCTAATCTCATAATTATGGTTTATTAAGTCCGTCCAGGATGCGCATGCGAATTTTTCGTTTATAGTTTTTTTTTCGTACGTCATAAAACCTGTCGTACTACGTATTTTTAGTATTAACCTACATTACAACATCACGTTAATAAATAACATGAACTTATCACATATCATAGCTAATGTCATATTATATTATATTTATTTTCTCTCGAGATCTATTATATGACCTATACTTTCTCATTTTATTTATATATACTTCTCTTTTTTTACATCACCAATTCTATATGTCCACGGGTTCTTGGTCGCCATGTAAGGACGAGTGAAATGAAATGCTTGAGTGTCGACGTAAGACTACTGGTAGGAGGGAGGCAATCGTCTGGACAGATCTTAGGAAGCTGCAGTGGATGACACCAGCACTGGTCCACCAGACACTAACCACTACCTTTTTCTGAGTCAACTTTCTCTTGGGGCAGGATTTGACCGGTTTTCCTGGGCTCAACCATTATGATGTGCATTTCCGATTATCTTACAAGATCCATTTTTCATCCTTCACCACGATGCTTATGCCCGAGCGTGCGAAATTAGCGACCATATTTTGCGAAACATAATATAAAAATAATCTAGATCGATTTTTCGCCTCCGAAAACACCCACATACCCAGCGAAATATTTAGAGCCATTTACGAGAATTCCAGTATAAATAAATATACAAGAAATACTCATTTAAATATATAATTAAATTAAAATTAAATATAATAAAATAATTTTTAATTATTTCTTGTAACTCGTGTTTTCCCAACCTTGAATAGTTATTATACTACTAATTTTAAAATTATGAAAATTAGGTCATTAATGTTATAAGATATATTGAAGATAATGTCTGTCGCTTTTTTTAACTTGATGAAAAATTAATGTTAGGGAAAAACAGGCAAAATTGCGACATATCAATGTTTCAGTATAACTACGTACAATAAAACTTAAAGATTAGTCAAATAATATGTAATTTTTCTTCTAGACCTACTGCATCGATGCTCAAGTAGCAGATTCAGCGTGTACCGCCACGTCCTACCTCACTGGTGTGAAGACCAAGTTTGGGGTCATTGGTCTAGATGGAAATGTCACAAGAGGTTCCTGTTACTCCCAATTGCATAAAGCAAATTGGTCACCTTCTATTGGACAATGGGCGTTAGCTAGTGGATTAGATGTTGGTAAGTGCTTGCTTATTAATTAATAGTAATTTTTCGCTTCTCCTGCGTGTTTCCATTTTGAAGAATAGCTCCGCTCGCGTAGGTCACCGTGTGATTTAAGAAAGACTGTAAACCACAAAAATATTGTTTTAAATTTGAGCATTAAATCCAGAGATTAGCTCTTTAAAATTTATGTACATATTAGTATAGATTTATAAAATTATAAACACCATAATAATTAAAGAGCGATCTTTATCTGTTTCGGGATTAAAACATCGCAGACAGACGTATACGTTAAACGTATAGCAATGATTTTTCGACGCCGGTTAAAATCAGATTCGACGAAAACAATAAGAGGGCTAATCCCTAAGTGTTTCTAACAGACACCAAGCTGTATAGTGGAATCAATCCTATAAAATTAATTTACGAAATAGTTACCTATTGTTGTTAATAATAGTACTTCATTTTCAAAAAAAGTTAGTTCAAATTGAATTTTTTTAAAGGTTTTAAAATTGCCTGAAGGGTAGAATTTTTGTTTGTTTATATGTTGCCACATTTGAAGCTAAAACCATACTTATTAATGAAAAAAAAAACAAAAATGCAAATTGAAAAAATACATATAATTGGACCCAATTATGCAAAAACAGCCATGTGCGTAAAAGTACCGACAGAATTATAAGCATTTTTCTGTCGATAGTTGCACTTGGGCTATGTTTTGTTTTTCTGGTTATTTTAAAATTGATTAATATTTAATATTATTTAATATATATTGTTTATTTTTTATAATAACTTTATTTTTTATAATAAAATGCTTATTATCCTGTTGGTGCTTTTAAGCACATGGCTGTTTTTTGCATAACTATGTCCAATAAAAAAAATATAAAAACGACTTGTCACAACGGTGCCAGCCGATGCAAAGCAAATCTAATAATAAACATTTCGATACGTAAAATACATTATAAATTGATGTGTAATATTTTAACTAGAAAATAGAGATTAATAATAACTAAGAGATTCATATCTTAAAATATTTTTGGCTGGCACCGACTTCGAAAATATCTGATTAAGTATCTATTTTAAATGAAAACCCCGTTGAGTTATTTTTTATATTTTAGAGCCTGGAAGTCGGTTTTTATTTTTTGTTAAAAAGTTTTCTTTAATGTTTTTAGTGAAGACGTATTAAGCAGGTAATTTGTAAGAAGAAAGTTTTTTAATTAAAAACATATTCGATTAAGTAATTTATTATTAACAAATTGATTTTTTAAAACCGCTCAACCGATTTCGATAAAATTTAATACCTGGAAAGTATACCCTTCGAAACAATAAAAATCCAAATCGGTTCAGGCGTCCTCGAGTAATCGGTGAACATACATAAAAAAAGATTCCGACGAATTGAGAACCTTCTCCTTTTTGGAAGTCGGTTAAAAAAAAGTATGTACTCATATTTCACATGTTGGTGTTAATTAGCGAAAGCTAGTTGAGTTATTCTTTGCATAGATAATGTTTGTTTGTAAAACTTTGATTCGATTTTTAATATGCTTAGGTACTAAAATACTACTACTAGGTACGTTTTAACGATTAGTATGGAATAGAGAGACTATACATAGACACAAAATAAACACTTCGAGACTTTTCAATTTTCCAGAATTTTTTTTTTCGTTTTCCCTATTTTTTTATACTTAAACCACCTCTGACATACCCCCAACAAAAGAAAAAAAGAATTTTTCAAATCGGTCCAGCCGCTTTTGAGTTTTAGCGTGACTATGAAATGGCAAATGATTATAATTAATTATTACTAGCGACTCACCTTCCCTTCGCTCGGGTTCATCCCTAGCTTGCTTTCCCTTACAAACTTTCATCACCATTCTCACCCCCTTAAGGGATGATTTTCGGCATAAAAACTATTTCACTCACTCACTTTTCATATCATGAGATTTAAAAAAATCTTATTTAAGTATTTTTTTCTATTAATATTAATTATTCTATACAAAACTTGTCCTGACAATAACAAACACAAAAAAAAATATATCCAATTTGGTGCAGTCGATCGGAAGATAATATGCGCTTATATACATTTCGGTGATTCATTTTTATTTATATAGATACATATAAATAGGTAAAGACAAAACAATTCAGTACCTTTTTCTTCCGTTTATTAACCGACTTTTTTATTTAGTAGCTATTGGCGAGCTTTAGTGTTATCGATAAAAATATTTGGAAACGAGTTTTTTATAGACAGGTAAATTCTAATCATATATTTTTTTTTTCAAATCAATTATTATGGTCAAATTCCGACCACTGCGCGAACACTAGTTCGAATAATATTATACTTAAAAGTTATTTCGAATATTTTAGTGTCGTGTTTGTTATTGAATATCATTTTGTTTAACAGTGAATACCAAATAAGCTTTCTATTATATTAGGTTTACTAAAGGTAAGAATTTGATAAAATTTAAACGTAGTCCATGTAAAAAATATACTTATCTATACAGATAAATAAAATATGAAGTGTTTGTTTGTAATGTCAAAATTTTTGCGTTGTACTAAATGTATATGAAATTATATACGGTACTTATAAAAAAAACACAATTTTAATTTTTGTCTGGCTGTCTGACTGGCTGTTTGTTCCAGATAATCTCTGAAACGGCTGGACAGATTTTAATGGGACTTTCACTGGAAGATAGCTGATGTTATAGGGAGTAACATAGGCTACTTTTATTTTCAACCGACTTCCTCAAAAATGAGGAGGTTCTCAATTCGGCTGTATGTTTTTTTATGTTTGTTACCTCAGAACTCCGTCATTTATTAACTGATTTAGACAATTTTTATTTTGTTTCAAAGTGTATACTTCCAGATTGGTTCCATTTAAATTTCAAAAAACAACCACCCCTAAGGGTGGGAAAATAGCTAATGATGAATTTAAACTACTTCTAATCGTCATATTGACTTGAAACTCTGCAAGTGTGTCTATTTCTGTTAATAGTGCAGTGTTTCGGTATCGTTGACCTTATCTGATGTAAGGGCAGAAGGTGGATAGGTGGAACTCTTCAACGGCTAATAGTAGATACTTTGAGTTTGGGCTTATTTTGTTTGATTTGACAAGCCTAATACGTTAGAATCGGATTTCAGAGCCAAAATTTTTAGTGTTACTAATAAAAGTGAATTTTACTTTGTCAGTCTTCATATTAAAATTAGCATCAAAGTGACTTAGACGGTTTAAGCAAATATTTTATTAAAATACTTTCTTCTCACTTTGCATTTTTTTTCATTTACTATACATACCTAATCAAATATATTCGAAGTCGGTGTGCTTTGCTTTGTATTGGCTGGCACCAATAACTGAAAAACTACCAATCAGTTATTTTTTACTTTTTAGTGATTTTTTTGAAGTTGGTTTTATTTTTTTGTTAAAAAGTTTTATGAAAAGAACTAGGGTTCCACTCAAAAAAAAACAAAATGTACCTAGGGACGAACCTGAGCGAAGCGAGGGTGAGTCGCTAGTCTCTTATAAGAAAAACTACAGATATTTAGCTTATTGGGATCTATCATAAAAATTATAAACAATTGTTACGTAGGTAGTATAGTTCGTATTTACGATATTTATTTTATTTTTATTTTATTTGGGAGACACACAATATTTTATAATATAAGTAGGTACATAACAGATAAAATATTACACAAACCAGCAAAGTTTCCACTAATTTAAACATACATACACATAGAGTAGACAACAAGAAATTTATGAAACAGAAAAAAATTACATTTAAATATAAAAACATCAAAGTATAAAAAATCTCCGCCAGCGTTCAGATAAGTTATTAGTATACTCTTACATTGCAGTTTTTGCACCTGGACATCCAACTATCACCATACCAAATTTCATCAAATTCCCTCCAGCGGTTTTTCTGTGATGCGGTAACAGACATACAGATAAACAGACAGACAGACAAAAATTCTAAAAACAATTGATTCGGTCTCTGTATCGATAATAATGTTTATTTCAATAAGATTATTCAAAAAATATTTAATTTACAGATTCGGCTTGGTTACAATTTTATTATATTACGTATAGATTTACAAACTGTTTGTTACATAAATTACAAGAACGTAACAAGAAAGAATTTTGCATATGTTTAGTTGTAGTTATTGGGAGGTAAAACAATGAATTTAATTACAATTGTTCTCGTTTAATGATCTATTGTTTAGATAAGAACGTCAGCAAAGTGTCATTGTAAAGCATATAATGTACGACGTATAAAATTATTGGATCTGTTTTAAAATTAATGATGACCTATGTATATAATACGCATCAATGATTGTGGTAGGTGTTTTACCTTATTTTCAATCACGTTGCCAAACGCTATGTATTAACCCCTTTTTAACGTCCCACTGCTGGGCACGATCGAGGTCTCCCTTTAATGGGAGGGGGATCAGCCCATAGTCCACCATCCTGGCCAAGTGCGGGTTGGCAGATTTCACATGTCTTTCGAAAACTTGCTAGGTTCTCTCACGATGTTTTTTTTTGCCATAACACAAGTGGTAATCAAGCTAGAAATTATTCGCACATGAAAACCCGCTTCACTCGGATTCCCAAGTAAGCGCGTTACCACTGGCTACCACTGCCTTTTGCCACTCAAACGCGAGCTCAAGTAAATTACATCTCTTATTGTTTACAGGTTTCGTGACGACCACCAGAGTGACACACGCCTCACCTGCTGGCATGTACGCTCATACATCTGAAAGGAACTGGGAATCTGACGCAGATGTTCCCGAGGAATGCAGAAATTTGGGGTGTAAAGACATCGCGTATCAACTTGTGACGAGTAACCCTGGAAGACAATTTAAGGTGAGAAATTATTAGTATTTATTAACATTATTTATCAAAATAGTTTTTCTTATGACTTAATGCTGCTTTTTTCTATAAATTATTTGAAAGAGAAAAAGAAAGGTAATTTTTTTATTGTCACTGTCTTAAAAGCATCGATCAAAAATCGACTTTTGATCGATACTTTTTTGAAAAAATGACATTTTTATATAGACGTATTAATTAAAAAATAACGAACATCGTGTAACATACACGAATGTCAAAATTAAACGAGGAGAAAAAAATATTTTACTTGTTTTTTCCATCTACGCGACATAAGCGAAATAAATTGTGCCCAAGTGGCACACCTAAAAGCCACAAGACTAAGAATAATAAGTAAATAATAAGATATGTAGCGTGTGTATGTGTATATTAGATAGGTTCTTATTAAATGATGAAAGACATACCTACCTACATAAATTTGCTAAGATATCACATGACATATTATCCTTTATCATTACGAGGTATAAACAAATTAAAAAATACTGTACCAAAATATGTACCTCTAACATGTGGTGCTGCAATAGTGTATTGTGTATATTTATCATATAAAGATAAAGTTCATCCCAAGCTTAATATATCAAGTACTTAAGCATACTTATTAAGTGTTTATATTATAAAATTCAATCTCATGAAATTGATCTAACTGATAAAATATCATATGAGCTTATTACATATCTTGACACTGTGAAATACTTGTATTAAAATCGTTGCGCTAATACCACTATCGGTGGCGTAAATGGCCTTTTTGGGCCCCAAAGGAAAAAAAAAAATGGAATGAAAATGTGAATGATGGAAAATGGATGGCACCCCCTTTGCTCATTTTGAATCCAAATGTGGTCCACCGACAGAGACAGTTTACGAACTTCTCACTTTTTGTATGTGGACCACTGGGGACCTCTTGAATCAGGGGCCCCGTGCAACCGAATATTTGCATTCGCATAGCTACGCTATTGGCCACTATTAACACAGTGAAATAGCAAATTTAGACTGACTTAAATATTTTTTTTGACTAAATCTACACCTGAAACAAAAAAATCTTCTTTTCGAACTGGGACTTAACGTGCAATAAAAATTGTAATAATTTAATGCTGAATAAAATATTTTTAATTTGGAAAAATTGAATTTTAAAAAGAAATGATTTATATAAAATGTAAAAACGAGATTTATATATTACTTAAGAACGCATTACTTACATACATTTAAGATTTTCCATTTTTTCTTTAAATTAAAATATATCACAAAAAAATAAAAAAATAAATTATATTAAAAATTTCAGTAAATTTACACTTTTTCATTTGATTTTCGTGACACTTGATTTGTTGAATTTTTTATGAAGTGATTTTAATACATTCATAATATATTTACACGAATATTTATCGTTTTAAATAAAATATTTTTTCGGATTTCTTCGCGCATTTATTTTGATCTTTGACTCCCACGTTTCGAATGCTTTACAAAAAACATGGTCACATAATAGTCACTCCCAAAAAATCCGAATGGTTACGTTTTATGTTACATTTCTCAGAGATGTGATATTTTCCCGCAGTTAAAAGCATCCTATATATTAACCCGGATAACCAGCTATCTTCATACCAAATTTCATCAAAATTTGTCCGATGGTTTCCTCGTGATGGCTTCCCTGACTGACACACAGATGAACAGACGGGCAGACAGACAGACAAAAAATCTAAAAAACTATAGATTCGGCCTTTGTATCGATAACAATGACTATTTCAATAAGATTTCCTAACAAAATATTTAATATACAGACACGACTCAGAATTCTATTATATGTATTAAATAGATGTCTAATATTCGCGTAAATCTAAGAAAGTATTACTTCTTCATAACATTTTCAACATTTCAAGTGTCACAAAAATCAAATGACATCAGCCTTCAGAAATAACAAGTAAGCAACTATTGTTTCAGCTTGTCCACTCGTACCATTTATATTTACATAAACATAACTTATTAGCACCATAAAGACAATTTATCTTTGTATGGAAAATGAACATTAAAATTATCTTGTCTTTACTGACGCTGTCAAATTGTATTTAAATCTTCAAATAAAACATTACAATATTTATTTAAAACTCACTCTCGCTTCGCCCGGATGTAGTCGACCTAGATGATTCTTTAAATTGACACAACTTTTCTATTTATGAACCGATGGAACTAAATCAAATACTAGATGTTAAGTGGAGCTTACTATAATACATTACTGAAAACTGCTACCAAATCGCAAAGGTCATTTACTTTACTGTAGATACTTACGATAATATTAATGACACAGGTGATATTTTTGATGTAAAGTATCAAAATATTCTTCTCTATTAATAAAGAATTATGTAATTATATTATATACATATATATTATAGGAGCATATACACACATCTTCTTATACAAAGGCAAAGACGAAACAGTTCAGTACCTTTTTCTCCTCTGTTTTTCAATATATTTTTTTAGTGTTGACAACACTCGTAGCTCGTCAATAGCTACTAAACAAAACTATGCGAATTCTATTATTTTTATTGTATTCAACCCTTTTTAACGTCCCACTGCTGGGCACGGGCCTCCCTTAAATACGAGGACGGAGGGGGATAGCCATAGTTCATCACGGTGGCCAAGTGCGGGTTGGCGGACTTTATTAGTATTTTTTATTGAAACGCAAAATATTGATGATGTTATATAAGCACCTGGTCGACCGAGCTTCACTCGACATTTTTCGGAAAAGATATAAAAATTGAAAGTTTCTGAGATACACAAAATAAATTTATATATACATACATATACGAGAATGCCTATTTAATATTACAAGATTTTAATATAATCAAAAACATTTTTAACTTCCAGGTGATTATGGGCGGTGGACGCAGAGAATTTCTTCCAAATGTGACCAATCCTCTCACCACAAACAGTACTGGCAGACGGCAGGACAGCCTAGATTTGATAGAGTTGTGGCATGAAGATAAAATGCAGAATAACGCTACTCACCAATATGTCAGTGATAGAAGTGAACTTATGAAGGTAAGAATCGAGATAACTACTTTTTTTGAAATTTTTGCTATTGTCATGGTGATACACCCTACTAATAATATAAATGCGAAAGTTTGTGAGGATGTATGGATATATGGATGTTGGTTCCTCTTTCACGCAAAATGTACTGAATGGATTTTAATGAAACTTTACAATAATATAGCGCATATATCAGAATAATACATACGCTACTTTTTATCCCGGAAAAATGTACGATTCCCGTGGAATAGATAATACAAATATGTACAAATAGGCAAAGACAAAACAGTTCAGTCAGTACCTTTTTCTCCTGTGCTTGTCAATCGTTTTTTTTTTGCTTAGTAGATTGACAAGCTTTTATATATACCTACATATAATAAAATTGTAACTAAGTCGAATCTGTGCATTAAATATTTTTTTTGAAAAATTTTTTGGAAATCGCGGCGACCGATGGACTAACACTAGTGTTTATAAACCAGCCTAAAGCTTTCTCATAGTATAATGTCTGCTATCTAAAATTAACGAAAGTTTTTATCTCTCACAAACTTCATCTATTGAATGTATGTTGAAGTCACATCTATTTGTAGAAAAACTTCCAAAACATACTTTAAGTATTCGTAGAAGTAATATTTTAACGCACCCATATTTGGTTTACGCGCGATAAGGTAAATCGACCTAAAGTCACTTTAAATATTACTATTACATAAGAGTGTTTTAAGTAATATAATCTATATACATAATACATATATACATGTGTCTGTATGTGTCTATTCATCTTTTGGTAAAGGATCAGCGTCGCCTATTGGCTAATGTTATCACTAATACTCCATGTATTATTCCAAATCATAGTCTATAAATAAATAAATATGCTGGGATATTAACACGCAGCACTATAGTTCCATGGTACGAGACTTGTGTTATGGATACCAGATAGTTGATACACTACACATATATAACTTTAAATGCATACATATTATAAATGTAAACACCCATGACTAGAGTACAAACATTTGTGCTCTCACACAAATGAAAACATCTTGAAAGTTTCTTCAAGATGTTTTCCTTTACCGTGCATGTCTGAGAGAACCTAGCAAGTTTTTGGAAAGACATGTGATATCCGCCAACCCGAACTTGGTCAGCGTGGTGGACTGTGGCCTAATGTCTTTCGTATTGAAATGACGCCAGAAACCATCAATGGGACGTTAAAAAGACCTGATTACATATATTTAAAATTCATAAAAAAAGGATAATTAAATTCGATTCACATTAGCGATATCTAACGCGTAAGTAGACTAAAACAACGTGTAAGAGTACACGCGAATTGAGTATCTCCTTTATAGAAGTGTGACAAAAAAGTCAATAGACATTACACCAAGTGTTTTTCTGGCTTATGAAATTGTTATAAATAATCATACTTTCAGGTTTTCAACTCTGATGATCTTCCGGAATACCTTCTAGGTCTGTTCCAGAGCGACCACATGTCTTACCACTTACAAGCTAACAACCAACCCAGTCTAGAAGAAATGGTTGAAGTGGCTATAAAAATGTTGAGCAGAAGTGAAAATGGATACTTTTTGTTTGTTGAAGGTATTAGACTATATTATTTTATATTCGAACTAAGGCCACTTATGTAGTAATTTAGAATGTTATACTAGTATAATGTTTTGAGCTCCTTATCAGTTTTTATCACCGTGGGTTAACTTTTATTTATTTAAAACAGGTAGGTACTGATAGTTGGTTAATAATATAAATTTTCAATAAGTCTGTTACTTAGGTCAACATGGCGTTAAGTATGTCACTAAATAAATATCAAATATTTAAAATATTTTGTGCATTAGTCCGTATTGGCACAAGGTCAGATACTTAAATGGTTATAATTTATAGTCGGTAATTAAGAAAATGTCAAAGTTTCATTTATATTGGTATAAATTACTCAGAGATGAGTTATTTTCATACTGGAAAAAAGTAATCATTATGTTAACCCGGATTATCAGCTATCATCATACCAAATTTAAGCAAAATTTGTCCAGCGGTTTTCTCGTGATGCATTCCCAGACAGTTAGACAGAAAGACAAAAAATCCTAAAAGCTACAGATTTGGTCTCTATATCGATAATAATGAATATTTCAATAAGATTTTCTAAAAAACATTTAACGTACAGATTCAACTTAGAATATAATAGATAACAGAAACAGTTGTTTCTCTTCATTCTAGAATTTTTCTTGTTTACATAAAAAATATGGAAAAAAATAATACCTCTTTACATATATAAACAAAACAAATTTATACCTAACTAGCATTGCCCGCGGCTCCGCCCGCGTTCAGATGACCAAAAACCAAATTCTTAGGTTTTACATATTAGTATACTCTTATATTGCAGTTTTTGTATTTTTTCTCAGAAATGAGACGTTTTCCCGCAGTGAAAAGTATCCTATATGTTGACCCAGATAACCAGCTATCACCATACGAAATTTCATCAAAATCCTTTCAGTAGTTTTTCTGTGACGCGGTAACAGACAGACAGACAAAAATTCTGAAAACCATAGATTCGGCCTCTGTATCGATAATATTGTCTATTTCAATTAGATTTTCCAAAAAATATCTAATGTACAGATTCGGCTGAGTTACAAATTTATTATATGCATAGATAAAACTCCTGTACAACAGCTGTCACTGTAGGTTTCATTAGTGGAGGAGATAACTTATTATATATTTTAAGAACTTTTCGGCGTAACTGCAATTATATCACTTGGCATGCAATAATTAAAAGATAAGATGACTGCAAAACATTTTTATTTTACTTAAATATAAACCAGTTTAAATGAAGTGTACATGCAAAGAACAGGAAATGTCACAATTTTTGTTTTTTTTTTTTTTGTACTGGTAACAATGCTATCTATGTCTATGGTAATTGCATTCCCAACCACTACTGTTTACAAATACTCAACGGTTGTCGCTAAAAGTACGTTTTTATCTATGCCCAAAGCGAAAAGAACTGGGAATATCCATGATATATCGGTAAGAAGGAGGATTGTCCAAAAATGTACATAGTAAACGGTTACTGTATACTTTGATCTCAATAAAAATATTAAAACTTCTAAACTTTTTTATAAATTGCTTTTTTCTCATATCTATTTTTTATGACATTACACGTGTGGCACGTGCATAAGCTTATAAAAAAATATCTTGAGCGGAAATAGTTAGAAAAACATACATATTAATTATTTTCCTTATTGATAAGAATCCAACATTGAAATGGACCAAGACCTACTTAAGTGATGCCACGCAATTATCTTGGTCTTATTTGCTATAATTAACTAGTGTTGTATTGCTATAAAAAAACGAGTTTGCTGTCTTTGGTCGCGTGTTTCTTTATTTACGTTACTAAAATCTTTTTAAACCTATACATACGAGTATGTTATATGAAAGAAGGATCGTGCGGTCAAAGTTGAATTTTAATATTTAAAAAATATATATTTCACGACTTTTGATATTATAATATTTCTTGACGACGGGTTTGGCTCAGTTTGTTAAGACCCTACCTTCTGTGCCAGCGGTCGCGGGTTCGAGTCCCGCTGGGAGCATTCATTTGTGTGATGACGAAGGTATGTACTTCAGTCATGGGTACACAGGTACAAAGTTACATATGTGTAGTATATCAACTATCTGGTATCCATAACACAAGCCTCGTAGCCTACAACGGAACTACTAAGATGGTGGTGTGTGTTAATATCCCAACGTATTTATTATTTTATTTATTTATTATTATATATTTCAAGGATATCTTGGATGTAATAGAATAGAACTCTTCATAGAAATTTTATTTCTGTCTTGAATGCAAGTTTGATTGATGAATGTAATGGGACTTTTTGTTTAATAGATTGTTGAAAATAAACGAAATTAAAACAACACTATAAATTTTTAATGACTAACGATGTAATTTTGAATTTGAGTTATGATAATTGATCATTTTGATTATCATGATACAAGTTACGTCGTTCGTGTTGTATTTTAATTACATTAAGTACAAAAATAAACGCATGATATTGTGCATATCACTATAGTAATTATACATTTAAATATTTTTAATTAATAAATATAACGAAAACGAAAATAAAGAAAATAAAAAAAATAGAAAAAACAATTCTGGTGAAATTCAATGGATATCTAAAAAAAAACTAGGTTTCTATTCTATCGCTAGAATAGATTAATAGATTTTTTTTAATACTTTTTACTTCTTCAATAACAATTGTTATATTTTAATTAATAATAGAAATAATTATTTACAGGTGGCAGAATAGACCACGCGCATCACGACAGCTATGCGCTCTTGGCGCTCGACGAGACCGTTGAATATGCGAAGGCAGTTAAAAAGGCCAAGGAGATGACAAGCGAAGATGACACCCTTATAGTCGTGTCTTCAGACCACGCCCATACAATGACAGTAGCTGGATACCCCTCAAGAGGTAACGATATTTTAGGGGTGGTCGACAACGTAAATGCAGCAGATGGAAAGCCGTATACTACGATAAGCTATGCGAACGGAAAAGCGGCTTCGATTAATAACGAAGGAAGAGTAGACGTGACGTTACATAGTGAATTTTCTAAACGTGAGTATTTTTTTATTTTCCCGTCACGACCTTAGCCTTGACGGATTTACTCTTGTTTTCCTTATCTATATTGAATCTGATTTCCGACAAATCCTGAGACGCCAAACATTTTTATATTTTGTATTATTTATTCAAGTCAAAGCCCATAATCTTTATATAATATTGGTATAAGGTATATTTATACCTCCACCAGCAGTTTGAACAGAATCCCAACCCGGAAAAGAACTGTTTGAAGAAACTCAGCTGCACTGTAGATCTTTTTTATATAATATACTAACCATCTAGTTTGGACAAGATCACTATTCATTGTAGTAATAGAAGAAATCTAAAAAAAAGTAAGGGAATCCACACTTATCCATACTAATATTATAAATGTAAAATTGTGTTTGTTTGTTTGTCCTTCTTTCACGTCGAAACGGGTTGACGGATTGGCATGATTTTGTTATATGGAGATAGTTGGAGGGCTGGAGAGTGACATCTCCTACTTTTTAGCGCGGCAGATTATCTCATTCCCACGGGAAAACACATTATAATACAATCCAAAAAACTATTTATGATCAGAGTTATTAGAAACTTAGTATTAATACTCTTAAATAAAGTTAAATAAATACGTGTTTTAGGTTTTTTTTCAAAATTCATCCTATAAGGGGCTAAAATAGGTGATGAAAGTTTGTATGAGACCTACCTTTTTAGAGGTTTCGTTGTAGTTTTAGCGCGAGCGAAGCCGCGGGTTCTTCTAGTGATATATAATAATTCTATGACATAACGCCTGAAGTCATTTCAAAAAAAAATTTAAATTACTACAACGATTACTACAATGACTGTAGAACGATATCTTGTCTAAACCCTCTTGAATACTAAAACAATAGAGAAAAACGCCTGAATAAAGCTTATATTCTTTCAGGTAATCTCGAGTACCCCTATCCAAGTTTGGTGCCTCTAGATCAGGAGACGCATGGAGGAGAGGACGTCGCAGTATTCGCTAGTGGTCCTTGGCAGCATCTTTTCACTTCTAGCTATGAGCAATCTGTTATCCCACATATGATGGCATATGCTATGTGCTTAGACACCAATAAACATGAGAACTGCAAGCCCAAGCATCACAGAACCTATTGGACTTCTAGTTCTTCTATAAATCAACCAAATAAGTATTATATTTTAAATGCTGTGATATTCTATTTTATGTTAAGATTTTTCCATTAGTTAGGCATAAGTAGATACTTAATTTAGGTAATGCCATTATTTATTTTGTAAAAATGTTTGTTAGGACGTGTATATAGACTATTTTAAAGTGTGTTTTTTTTTCTTCTATACTCTTTCTTGGTTTTACTTAAAATTCCGTTCTATTTACATGAATTTTAATGTATGTATAATTTTCAATAGAGAAAATGTGGTGTCTTTATTTCGTAGTAGCGACTCAACCTCGCTTCTCTTCGGGCTTGTCCCTAGACAAAAACAAATTTATCCCACGGGAGCCGTAAATTTTTCGGGATAAAAAACCTATATGCTATTCCAGGCTATAATCTATCTCTGTGCCAAATTTTATCCAGATCCGCTTAGCCGTTCTGGCGTGATTAAGTAACAAACATCCATCCAAACATCTAAACTTTCACATTTATAATATTAGTACGGATTAATTCGAACATCGGTACATACCTATATTATACATATGAAAATGTTTTGAAACATTCCATATATTTATTAGCATCATCGTACAAGTTTTTAACACATATTGACATTGTTATTAATCTTTTTTTAAATAATATGAAAAGTTATGAATTGATCAACTTAAAAATTCTATTGCAATATATTTTAAGTTATAATAATAATCAAAATGTTCCGTTGTAGATATGTTTTGAATACTTAAAGTACAAAAATGAACTCGTGATACATGCATATACTATGATTGCATTTAAATAAATGTTTAGTTTTTAAGCTATTTCCAATTAATTTAGATAAGACTCGATAAAAATGTATAGTAAATAATTTAAAAACTATTTTTGGGTTTATTCTGTAATTGTTTGTTCTGTAATTTGGGTTGATTCCCCATACAAACTTTCATCCCCATTTTCACCCCCATAAGGGATCATTGCCGCGATATAAACACGTATGTCCTTCTCAGGGTCTCAAATTATGTTCTTACTAAATTACACTCGATTTTTTACCCATTATTATAACATTCCAGCCAAAGGTGGGTTAAGCAAATAAAAAATTTAAAATTTTTCTTTATCTCAATTATTATATTATATGTATAACTTTGAATATTAATAATATTTAATAATAAAAATAATGTGCTATAGAATTGCTTTATTTATCATTTTATCGAAAAGTTAAAGATTGTTTTGCTCCTTAACCTATGTATGGCCTGTAAATATTTATAATATGTAACTTGTTAATAGTTGTTTATTGTTGTATGATTTTATTAAACAATGACTCTATGTTTTGGTTTCATTTTTACACAAACTATCTGAGACGAGCATTTCATCCAAATCCGTTCAGCAGTTTCGGCATGATGGAGTAACAAATATGCACACACCGCTCGACTAGCACTTACTTATGGCTTTATTCACGTTTTTCTGAAAATAACACTAATATTTTCAAGACACTAAAATAATTGAACCTAAATATAAATAATCTTTAATACTTGGCTATTAACATTTGTATTGTGCATTTATTGTTTAATATCTTGATTTAAATAGGTACTTTTTGTTCAAAAATAAACTAACTATAATATGCGTTTCCATAAATTGCTATCTAATAGCAGTATGTAATGATCCATGATGCTTTTGTATACCTACCCACATTATTCTAACCGATAAATTTATTTTCTATAGTTCTACATTTTTGTGTACCGCCTGTATGTTTATATTAACTACTAGCGACTCGCCCTCGTTTCCCTCGAGTCCGTCGCTAGGTTGATTTCCCATACAAACTTTCATCCCAAAATTCATCCCTTTAAGGGACGATTTCCGGAATAAAAAAAATCCTATGTCCTTCCCAGGGTCTCAAACTATCTTCTTACCAAATTTCACCTAAATCGGTTCAATAGTTTTTGAGTTTATTTACAGACATACAAAAATACAAATCTTTCCTCTTTTATAATAGTAGCGTAGATGTATCTAGTTTTCTCAAATACTTAAGAGGATTGTATTTATTTTTGAGAAATAAATTCTTAAGCAGTGATATTATAACTGCGATAGACTGTTAGGCAGTGAGTTTGTTACTTCTACATCGCACTGTAACGAAATAAGTTTTTGATAGAAAATGCCTTATATAATATACTAGCAGAACCCGCTAAAACTAAAAAATATATCTAAATAGGCAGTTTCATACAAATTTTCATCCCCTATTTTACCCCCTTAAAGAATGAATTTCGAAAAATGCTAAATCACGTATTTATTTAATTTTATTGAAGAGCATTAATACCAAGTTTCAAGTAATTCTGATCATAAATATTTTTTTGGACTGCATTATAACGTGTTTTCCCGTGGGAATTAGATAATCTCCCGCGGTAAAAAGTAGCCTATGTCACTCTCCAGCCCTCCAACTATCTCCACACAAAAAATCACGTCAATCGTCAAGTGAAAGAAGGACAAACAAATAAACTAACAAACACACTTTCACATTTGTAATATTAGTATGGATTCTACGTCAACAAGTATTTTTAGTGAGGGTACAGTCACGGTAATGTAATTATGTAATATTACCGTGGTACAGCGCAAGTGAGGTATAAAACTTGAATGTTATAGATATCTGTCCAATTTAATAGAAAAGTTGCTTATTAGGTAAAATTATAGTAAATATAAAATGATTAGTTTGCGTGTAAAGAAATTGTGCTATATTTTTTTCCAGACTAGAAAAATTATCGTGACAATAAATTGTTTAGATGATCTTGTAAAAGACAAAATGTAATGATAAAAAAATGTCCTAAAATTTTGTATGTCAAGAGTAAATAACAGTTTCTGAGTATTATTTATCAATGTGGTAAAGAGTGATGGATTAAATAAAATAAGACTTTTGAAATACTCAAGAATAATTAATCTTATTATAGGTAATCAAAGATATTATTTATTTTGGAGAAATTTTAAAATATTGTTACAAAGCCCAATAGATATGACTCTGTTTTTTTTTTAAATATACTTAATCTTTAAAATATATTTGTTTTTAGTAAATAATTTATGAATTTATATAAATTACTTCGATTATTAAAATTAATGTACATAAATTACATTGTTAAAACAAATATGAATACTGCCATCTACCGGTGACATACTAAAGCACTAAATAACAAGTTTAGTGTCGTATTATTTATAATAGTTCTACAATGTATGCACAGATGGCGCTAATTTTTAATTATTTAAAAATTAAAATAATTATGATTTCTTATTTGCTTCACTTGTGATTATCGATTTGAACTTTTATGAAATTGTATAGAATCGGGATAATGTTATAATAATTTCTGAATTGAGCAATTCTGATGATGGAGCCAGGAGGTAAATAGTGTAGGGTAGTTTTAATAAATAAATATGTTGGGACATTAACACACAGCACTACCTAGCTCCATGGTAAGCTACGATGCCTGTGTTATGAATACCAGATAGTTGATACACTTCACATAATATTACCTTTAGCATTACCTTTTAAGATGCACCGCATGCAAAAATATTTGTTTAATAATTATTTATACTAATATTATAAAGAGGTAAAGTTTGTGAAATTGTGAGTTTGTGACGTTGTAATAGGTAATCTCTGGATCTACTGAACCGATCTAGATGAAATTTGGTAAGAAGATAGTTTGAGACCCTGCGAAGGACATAGGATACTTTTTATCTCGGAAATCATCCCTTAAGGGGGTGAAAATGGGAATGAAAGTTTGTATGGGGAATCAAGCTAGTTTATAATATATTTTTAGTTTTAATAGATTTTTTTGTTGAAAATGCATTTTCGAACGTAACTTTTATCCCGGGGTTTCCCCTGAATGACGAGTTGCAAAAATAACATGTTTCTTTAAAATAACAATTTACTGTTACAGCCTGAACGTAGTTAGAGCAAAACGTTAGTCGAATATTTTACTACCATTCTCTAATGCAACGAGTGCTATTTACGTAACTTTATATATTTTGTAATATGTATGTATGTAGCTTAGCTCACGAATTATTAGAAGTATGTATCCATTGTTAAGTTGAATAAACGTGATTGTTGATACTGATGCCTTGATTTTTTTTTCCCGTTAAATTGTTCCTTACTTAATTGGTTACTGTTTTAATTAAAATAATTTAAAAAGAAACATTTATTAATAATTTTTCAGTCCTTATTTTGACTAATTAATACTTGTGTTCGAGAAAAAGGTGATTGTTTTATCTTTACACGTCTTTATATAAAAAAACGTGTGTGTGTGTGTACTTATGTACGCAAGTAAGAACTTTGGCGTAATAGAACAAAAATAGCTAAAGATATCATCTCGTATGTCAAAACTCTCTGTTTGTAAAAGGAAGGAATGCAGCTAACTTCATCATGTCGCTTTCAGCTAGTTAGTATACTCTTACATTACAGTTTTTGTATTTTTTCTCAGAAATGAGATATTATCCCGCGGAAATAGCATATAAATTAGTATATAAAAGTATATTTTGACCCGGATAACCAGCTATCACCATACCAAATTTCATCAAAATCCCTCCAGTGGTTTTTCTGTGATGCGGTAACAGACAGACGGACGGACGGACGGACGGACAGACGGACGGACAGACAGATATACAGACAGAAAAAAATTCTAAAAACTATAGATTCGGCCTCTGTATCGATAATAATGTTTATTTCAATAAGATTTTCCAAAAAATATTTAATGTAGAGATCCGGCTTAGTTACAACTTTATTATATGTACCTACCTATAGAATTATTATTTCCTTATATTATTAGTACTATTTACATATTCGTGTCCCTCATTGGTTTTAGTAACAATAAAGGTTTTTCGGACACACATAATATTTACTAGCAGGATAACATAATATTGTTTAAAGGAAAAGCTCCGGATATCCCGTCATCTCCATTAGTAAAATCACAAATATTCGAATGACTAAACTATCTATGGCACGTTCACCACTGTGAAATTCTCTGTCTAGGCAAAAGGTAAGGAGATCGCTAAATATTATAAATAAAGTCACCTGTATACTTTATGTTTGTTCGGGCTAATCTCAGGAAC